TGTATCACCCACAGTGTAATTCAAACCATAAGAATTAAATGCTGGTGAGATCTCCTAACAGGCAGCATCAGTTCTGTTGCAGATTCTGGAGCCTGTGATTGAGTGGCCCATGGAGAACAGGACTGAGGATGCAGAAGGACCAGGAGAAGTGGTCTTACAAGCCCTACCCTTCCCACCAGGGAGGCCCAGTGGACTTTTGGGAGCGATTTGCCATTTCTGTGGTCCCCAGTGATGCCTGCAGCACAGAGGGAAGGTCAGGAGACTGGTGCTCCAAGTGGAGAAGTGGAGCTTGATGCAGAGGATGAGGAGCCGTCGCGTGTTTCTGGAAGATTTTGTGAAACTCAAAAGGAGAGATGCACATTGCTGCCTTGGAGAAAGGTCCGCTTTGTTTTTTAATAATAAAGGGTGACATGCAAGCTTTATTAACAAGGCATGTAGGAGAAAAAAGGCTCAAGGGATAACCCTGAAAAAGTGGTGCTAAATGTGTCATTTTTATGAAGCTGATTTTGTGAAGAGTCCCTACATGCTTTGGCAGGAGGTTGCAGCAGGTTTACAATAATTTGTGGAAAGATAGAAATGTTTTCACCCTGAAGTGAGAAGAAGGGCGGAAAGCCCCTGTGTTGAGATGCTTTAGAGCCATCTTCTGAGGCAGAGGCTGGCAGAAGGACGGATACCTGTCACTTGGGCTCCAAACAGCCATGGACATTGCTGGGGGCCATGTGTGGATGGAGGAACCTTTGTTGAGAGCCTGGATCCACATGCCATGGAGAGAGCTGGATTTTCACCTCCCTGCAGTTTGGTCTGAAAAATACCCACATCCGAAACCGCTGGAAAGAGGGAAGAGCGATAAAGAACCAGGTGCCAGGAGTCTGCCCGGAGGTGAGCAGGCTGCAGGGACAGGCTGTGCTGCTGCCAGCCTGCTGGCATGGCCCAGGACACGTCCCTGCCACCCTGGGCACTGACCCAGGCAGCATCCTGTGCTTCTGCAGCTCGGCAGTGCTGGGGGAGCCCGGAGCTGCTGCAGCCCCCTGCCCTTTCTGCTGGCACTGCCATCAGCTCCCCTGAAACCGCCTTTGGCTCCACCAGGGTTTATTTCTGTTTTCAGGGCAGAGAGTGAGCAGTCGTTAGAGCAGTGCCCTGTTGCTAACAGACCTTTTGCTCTTGGGGAAGTCACTCCATCGATGTCCAGGTCAAGAAGAGTTATACTGATGTTTGTACATATTTTTTTTTAATTTAATGGGATTGGCAGTCATCAACCAAAAGCAACCGCTAGGGGATAAACAAAAAAAAAAAAGTTTAATATTTCCTTCCTGATTGCTCGATTCGGAGTGTGGCTGTTGTTATATTTATATTTGTGTTGCTAAGGCAGCGGTTAAAGCCTTTTCCAAATTAGGCACTGGTAAGCTTTATGGCAAGCCAGGGCTCTTTTTGATGGCACTGGCACCAACATTTGGAAAGCAAGGACAAACCTGTCCCTGAGGAGAGCAGGGTTTCTCTCCTCCAAGAGAAACACAGGCTGAGGCCAGAGACTTCATGCAAGGTGTTTGTCAGCATTTCCCAGTGTCTGGAGTGTATTGTTTGTTCATGGCACAGAGGCTGTGGGGCTGATCACGACAAGTTGAGCATCCTTTCTTCAGTTACAGCGAGCAGGAGATAAGGGCTGGCAGCATGCTTGGGAGGTCCTCGCTGTGCCTGGCTCTGAGCATGGAAAGGAGAGGCTGGACTTGGGGCTGGGCTCCCCTTTGATTTCCACAGGAGTGACGCTGATTAGTGAGAAAGTGACAGTTCATTTGCTTCTGCCAAAATAATGAAGAAGATGAGGGCCAGCCTCTCAGGGATGCACTTGATGAAGAGCACGCTTTCATCGGTGCCAGCCAGCCTTACCTTTTCCCTCTTTTTTGTGCTTTGACTTTGTTCTTTGGGTCTCATTAAGAGAGGGAGCAGATCCTTTCCCAATTAAAATGTTGACATGTTGAAGATGCTCTCCTTTCCCATCATTTTGCCTCTGTTTGTAAGTGGTTGCACCTTGCGGGATGAACTAGAATTAAATCAAGTGAACTTTGATTGAATAATGCAAGCTGTAAAGCAACCTTTCTCCATGAAAAATCTCATTTCTTTTTTATTTTTCTGGTTTTGATCCCCTAGTCTGCATGGAGATAACCTTGACAGACAATCCCATGGCTAAGGAAAGAAACTGGGCTGGAAGGAGCGTGCTGGTGTGGGAAGGATGGACAGCCCACCCTTGTGCCAGCGTGGGCAGCACAGGCAGCTCTCGCCTCTGAGGGTGCAGACCCAGGGAAGAGGATTTCCCATCCTTGTGGCCGTGTCACTCCTTGCTTTGCCTGAAGTCTGGAAGTAATTATCATTACTTGTGCAGTGTCCAGTGGTGGGGGAGTTCCACGCCTGGGAACGGATGCTGTGTCCTACTTCTCAGGAGCCCCTTGTTCCGTGTGGATGTCGGGGTTTTATCAGTGGTGCAGAGCATCCTGAGGAGGGGACACGTGGAACACACAGCAGGGAGTACACGGGAAGGACATTCCTGCAGCCCATTGAACAGAAATTTGCTTGTCAGTGAACGAGTTGAGCCAGGATATGGGCTTTGTTTTTGGTTTGAAATCAATATCAAAGCTCCCAGGGATGTTGGTCTGAGGGGAATTTAGTGCCAGGTCTGTATCTGGGCTGTGGCAGTTTGATGGCAGCATGTGTGGTGTCTCCTCAGCCTGTGGGATTTTGGTGGCAGTGATCAGACTTTCCCTGTGGATGACCTTGGGTATTCCTTGGCCCCTGAAGCCTTGGAGAGGCAGTGTCCATGCTTGGAGTGTTTAAATCTCTTCCGTGTACCTGCACATATTGAAATTTGGTGTCTGCATTCTCTGACCCAGCTGTTCTGTCCTGGCTTTCCCAGGGCTGAGCTGTGCACACACGAGGGTGCAGGTGATGGATGCAGTGGTGGTGCAGGGGGTCTCCCTGCTGCTGGGCACAGTGGTGGGGCTGGGGATGCAGGGATGGAGCCAGCTGAGGCTCCTGTGGAGCTGTTCCCACTTCTGCAGGTGCTGGGTGGCAGGAGGGGCTCCCCACCCTGTGAGGACTGTGCCAAAGCTGGCTCCCATCCCTTCTGCCCTGCGTTGCTTGGCTGCTCTCAGCTCAGCTGGGGGCTGCTGTGGGGCTGCTCGGGGGGATGCTGTGGGGTGGCAGCCACCCCTTTGGGATGGCAGCACCAGGACTGATGGGCAAACCCAGGCTCAGGTGTTTTCTGTGCTGTTCAGGTTCTGGGTGTTGTGTGCTTTGGAAATACCTGTGTCTGCCTGCTCCTGAGCTCTTGGCACCAAAGGCATCCGGCAGGACCACGGGTGCAGGAGCTGCAGGGACCAGGAGTTGTGCAGTAAATCTCCAGCGCGAGTCTCCAGCAGTAATTACTGTGTGAAAGTAATAACGGAGCTGTGCTGAGTGCTAGGCCAACTCCCCCGGCTCGCTGCTCCTCGCCTCTTTCTCTCTGGGAGGTTCCTGTTTGGTAAATTAGATACTGTGCTGTATTTCAGAAAAGGTTACACTTAACCCAGGCTGCCTCTGCTTTATTACCTGGGCAGAGCCGTGTAACCTCTGCTGGGGTACGATTGGATTTCACACTGGGCTCTGCTGCAGTGGCCCCACTCCCTGCATCCTGCCATTGTGATTACGTTAGCAGCAGACTCTGCTTTCCTTTATTTATTGAGACATTAAAGATGCATGCATTTATTTTTACCATGTTCATAATTGCCATAAAAACAGGCCAGAGTCTCCCAGAGCGGCTCTTTGGGGAGGAGAGCAGCCACGGGGCTGGGGCAAGGAGGAGCGTGGCAGCCAGAAGGCAGGACAGGCTGGGGCAGGTGGATGTTCCTGTTCTGTCCTGGGAGGATGCTGCTGTTGTCCTTGAGCAGAGCACAGCCTGCTCCTGCTGCTGCTCAGGAGGCAAGGAGCACCCCAGGGCCAGGGCTGGTGCTGGTGGGAGCCCGGGTGGGATCCCTGCGGGTCTGGGGGGACTTGGGCTGGGTGGACGGGTGGACTGGAGTGCCTGACTTGTACAAGATCCTGCATCCTCAGGGGTCCCTGAAGCGCAGGAAGGATCCTGGCTAGGCTGTGCAGATCCCACCATGTTCCAGCACTGTGGTTCACTGTGCATTTCCCATCACATCCTGCCATGCACCCACCACTGCATCCCACCACCAGCTCCCACCAGCTCCCACCACACCGCTCCCACGAGGTCCCACCAACAGGTCCCACCACCAGGTCCCACCACATCCCCCTGATGGCTCCCACCATGGCTTTCCCTCTGCTCCCTCCCCTACCTTTCTGGTTGCTCTTTTTGGCTCCTTACCTGCTGCTAGCACCAGAGCCCCGGGGCTGTGTAATCTGAGGTTAAAAGACTGCCTTTCAAGAGCAGAACGAGTTAGTGGGTTTTGCTTGCCAGTAACAATTCCTTTGGCTTTTCTTCCCTTCTTTTACTTCCCTCTAACTTTTAAGCATGCCACCCATTGTTTGCTTTTTTATTAATAACAGAGCCCACTGTCTCTGCAAATGAAATGATGTAAAACAAAGAAAAGTGCCTGCATTAAATTCTCTGGCAGGGGATTACCTTGCTGGCATTTACATATCTATGCAATAAATATTTTAACATGTTAATTATACACTAATAAGAAAAATACCTTTTGAACTTTCAGTCAAATTGACACTCACAGAACTGAGTCCATCAGGGAATTAAAAGCAATTAGTTTTGTAACAGAGCATAGTCACATTGTTTCTTCTCTGCAAATTGTTCTGTGGTCACCAGCCAGCCTTTTTTTTTTGGTGGAAGTTGATGGAAAGACTGACAGGTACTGGAGTTTTCCATGCCTGTCTCTGTCCTGTCACAGGGATGCTTCTTCCCTCTCGAAAGGTTTCATGCTGGCCCTGCAAACCTGGCTCTCCCCAGTCATGGAGAAATCAGACTTGTAACCATCTCCGTTTTCTTTTCCTCCTTCCAGACTGAAAACTACTCCTTTGATTCCAACTACGTGAACAGCAGAGCTCATTTAATAAAAAGGTACGTAGGCTTGCTTGAGGGGCTTGCTTTGCCCAGCCAAGTCCCAAGGGTTTAATGTTCTTTCATACTGCCTTATATACTACTTGCTCATTTTAATATGCAAAACTTTTTAAGAGTAATCATTTGATTTTTAAACTTACTTCCCATTAAGTCCCATTGCTTGTGGTTTGCAGTAAAGGAAATCTTTTTTTCCTTCTCTTTGGCTTCTTCATGCTGGGAAGGTGCAGTAAGTGAGGTGGAGTGCTGTTACCCTGACAACTTTCAAATTCTGAGAGTTTATTCCATTTGAATGCACAGGAATAAAAGGATAGATTAGGGTGGTGAGATGTCCCTGCCATGTGAGACAGGGAAAATTAAAAAAAGCCCACAAGTTGTTTGGGGCAGGTAATTGGGTTGGATGCAGCTCATGGTTCTAGCTCACTGTCTTAGTTTGAATACCAGGGCAAGCAGCACTTGGCTGGGCTGATCCTTTTCCATGTGTAGAAGGAAACAAGCAGTTCAGCTGCAGCCTGGCACTTACCCTTTGGGTGAAATAGTGCTGTCCTCAGAGCCTGGCAGTGCTGAGGATTTGTCTCTGGGGTTTTCACACTGGGGTTGCCCAGCTGAGCCCTGCTGGGCTGCGTTAACCCGGAGGTGAGCACGGCCCAGGGCAGGAGGCTGGGCTTGGAGGGACGGGCACTGGCACAGCCTGGCCAATGTCCCCCTGGGCTGCAGGGCTGCAGGGCTGCAGGGCTGCAGGGCTGCAGGGCTGCAGGGCCAGCTCCCTGCACAGGAGCAGGCTGCGGCATGGGGCCAGCAGCTCCTTCCTCTCCCCAGGGCTTGGCCAAGGTGTGTGGGGAGCCAGCCATGCCCCTGCCCCTGCCCAGCTGTGCTCCGTGACTCTGCAGAAGCCATCACCAAACCGAGGGTTTTACAGAGAGCAGAAGTTGGCCCTGAACTGCTGAGATCTGGTCTGAGCAGTAAAAATATCCAATTATCTGCCTGGCTGAGGTCCCGTTTGTTTACATCTTAGAAGCCCGAGCAGCGCGGGAGCTGGAGCAGTTCAGCTGGCGGAGGGCAGGGGTATTTGCCTGCGTGCCTCGTGGTGTTTAACCATGCTAATGTGGCTGTGAGAGTCGGCTGGCCTGTGCCACGCTGCTCCTCGCCAGAGAGTCTTCAGGCACATGAAAAAAGCCCAAATCTATTAATCTTTCCTCGTTCCCACCTGAGATGAAGGCAAACGGCGCTCGCGCCCGCCGCAGCGGGGCTCACTCCGAGCTGCATTGTTTGGGAAATGCTGCTGCCGCCGTTCCCCCAGCCCTGCCCATCCTTTAGGGAAGTGTCAGCCGTGGAAACACGCCGTGTGGCTGCTGCATTACGGCCTGGCTGACTGCAGGCCAGATAAATGCCGTGCAAAACGGCTTGCCTGTGCATTACGAGCAGCAGCTCCGTGTAGGACAGCAGTTCCCCTGCTTTCTGCCTTTGTCTTGTATCTTAAGTACAACGGGTGCCAGGAATGCTGTGCAGACATCTGAGAACAAAACATATTTTCTGTAACATACTGTGGCATCATTTTCATCCTTTGCCTTTATGAAGATGTTGTAGCCCTGCTATCTTCGGTGAGTGAATCTTCTCAAATCCAGCACTTAATTAATCTATTTGTACTTTTCCTGTGTTGTCTGCCTGCCTCTCTCGCTCATCTACACTCACAAATGAATTGGAGATTTGTAGTGCTTTCTTAACTTAAAAATCTTTGATGTCACCTGGAATCAAAGCCAGCGGCTTCAATAGGGACATCTTTATTTAAAAGGTAATGTTTGAAGGTTTACCAATTTATATGTGTTTCAGAGCTCCCCTCTCGTGTGCTTTTGCAGAGCATTAGATGGTAGGTGGTCTGCTTGGTTTCCGTGGAGACACAAAAGGGCTTTTCAAAGTAATGAAAATCTCCAGCTCTTTGGGGCTTTGAAGCCCAGGCCGCGTCTCTCGCTGACGTTTCACACCAAAGCAGCCAGGGAGGAAGTTTGCAGGTGGATCCTCCCAACAGTGCAGTTTTCCTGTGCCACGGCTGGGCGTGGGAGGAGCACAGGGTGGGTGTCCCCAGGACACCCCGATGGCTGTGCCACCTGGGGCAGGTGGTCTCAGGGTGTCCCTGCGTCCTGGGGCATGGCCCCTCTCAGGGTGTTGGGGTCCCAAATGCAGCCAGAAATGCAGCTCTTCATGGTCACAGAATGGTTGGGACCTTAAAAGATGACCCAGTTCCAGCCCCCTGCCATGGCAGGGACATCTTCCACTGGCCCAGGCTGCTCCCAGCCCCATCCAACCTGGCCTTGGGCACTGCCAGGGATCCAGGGGCGGCCACAGCTTCCCTGGGCACTCTGTGCCAGGACTGCCCACCCTTACAAGGAAGAATTTCTTTCTAATATCTAAATATCACCTTTTTTCTTCCAGTTTAAAACCATTCCTCCTTGTCCTGTCACTATCTGCCTGTGTAAAAAGTCACTCTCTCTCTTTTTTGTATGTCCCATCACTATTTGCCCATGTAAAATGTTACTCCTTTTTATAAGTCCCATTTAGGAACTGGAAGGGACTCTAAGGTCTTCCAAGAACGTCCAGGATGAGCAATCCCAGCTCTCTCAGCCTGTTTTCATAGGAGCTGCCCTTCCTCCATCCCTCTGGCCTGGGGGCTGCATTCCTGGGGGTCTTGGGGCTGCTCAGCCCCTGGGGGAAATCTGGGAGCAGCTCAGTCCTTGGTCCTCCCAGCAGTGGCTGTGCTTGCAGAGGCTGTCAGGATGTTTGACTGTGGATCGGATTTCCTTAAAGCTGCGTGAACTTGGACCCTGAATCACTGGTTTATTTTTAAAAATAAGAATGCATCATCATGATTAAGACATTCCTGTTTCCAGGAAGACTTTTGTTTTTAAGCTTGAAGTGGTTAGGATTTGGCTTAAAACCTAAAAAAATGGGGTTTAGATCTTGTGTGACTTCAGTATGAGGTAGTGCAACTTGGGAGAGCCAAGTTGTAGAAACAGCTCATTTAATGTATATTTTTAAAATTTTATTTCAACTCCTGCTTCACTCTGAGCTTCTGTCAGACCCAGGGCAGCCTGAGGGTACCCACAGGCTGACACCAGAGGCAGGGGCAGGAGCAGCCTGCGGGGTGGTGCAGGCTGGAGGCTGTGTTTTGGGGTGCAGAGGTGCCAGTCAGGGAGTGTCCCCCAGCGTCCCTGCCCCAGCTCTCCATGCTTGGACATGTCACTGGGTGCTGTCCCTGCCCCAGCTCTCCATGTCATGAGTGCTGTCCCTGCCCCAGCTCTCCGTGCCTGGCCATGTCATGGGTGCCGTGGAGGGCAGGGACCTCCTGTCCCTGCTGTGGGGTGTCAGGGGCCACCTCGTCGCACCCAGCAAGTGACAGCTGTGTTTCCCCAGCAGCTCCACGTTCAAGGACTTGGAGGGGAACAGTCTGAAGGACAGCGGGCACGAGGAGAGTGACCAGACGGACAGCGAGCACGACGTGCAGCGGGGCCTCTACTGCGACACGGCCGTCAACGACGTGCTCAACACCAGCGTGCCCTCCATGGGCTCCCAGGGCCCAGAGCCAGGTGAGACACTGCTGTGCCCGGGGGTGCCCGCTGCCCCCTCGTGCCCTGGGGCTGCCCCGGGGGTGTGCAGCGAGGGTGCCCATGCTTGCTGGGGATAGCGCCGTCCTCATCAGAGTGGGGTCGATGTAAATTAATCTTCACGCCATGCCCGTCAGGTAAGCCAGCGGTTGGGGTTGTCCTCTGCTCACAGGCAGAAAACCCAAGGCCCTGAGCACGTGCCTGACATGAGGGAGCGCTGGAGCAGGGATTAGGGCAGGAATTGGAGGTGCTGTGCCCAGGGCTGGGCCCTGCCTGCCTCCCCTCCGCAGCACCGTGGTGTGTGTGCCCTTCCCAGCGCTCCCGTCCCAGCTCCGCAGCTCGCTCAGCAGCTTTCCCAAAGGCCAGCAGAGCATGTGGGCAATTAGCCAGCCATCCCACCGGGGACTAGCTCAGCCCAGTGGGAGAGGGTTTGCATCTTTTCACCTGCATAGGTGGCAGCTTTCAGCTCTTACCATCCCCGTGTGCAGGGATGAAGTCCTGCTCTGAAATCAGGCTGCTCTTAGCCAGAGGAAGGAAGTCAGAGGAGTTCAGCTGAGCCCAAGTGTGGCTGTACTTGGGCATAAATGTCGCTTTGAATGTCTGAGGGATGCAAACATCCTATGCAAACACCCTGTCTTTTTCAATTAAGGAGCCTGAGTGTGGTTTGCTGCTCCGGCGCGGGGGAGCCTCGGGGCACTTGGCTATATCTTGAGATAAGCTGTAGCTGAGGCTCAACTGGAAGCCCCACTGCTAAAAGACTTAAGGATATGAAAACAAAATGCTGTGATTATGAGCTGGTCTTCAGCTGTTTAATTCAATTCATGGTAAACATCATTAAAAGCCTTTGTTTTGCTGTCATAAAAGAGTCAAACGGGGGAGAGAGAGTTCTTGCCATCTGCGCCACCGAGTGTGGGATTTTTCTGGAGAGAATCTGATCCCTGTATTAATTCTCGATAGAGTCTGTTAAATGGCCATAGTTAACCCTGTAAGACTCCACGAGGAGGGGAACACAGAGGTCACCTACACATTCCACGCTGCCAGCCGCACTAATTGGAGAGGGATGGCATCTGCAGCGATAATGTATTTCCAGACAACCCTACTGTGGCCAAAGATGAAAAAAATTAAACATTTATATAACTGTACAGTGGCAGTTTAATTCTCTGCGGACCAGCACCGTGTCAGAGAATGCAGGCTGATAGCTATCATTTATTATTCTTCTATTACAAAGAAATGCTTTTTCATTTCGATCAGGAGAGGGTTTCCTAAGATGCATTTGTAGTAAGGGATGACTTTAGAAGCAAAAATGTTCATAATTGATTCCCATCCTGGTGAATGGTCTGAGCAACATCTGTTAATTTTTTGTCACATTTCTTCAGCGAAAAACCCAATCTCAGTGGGCTGCAGATAGGGTTTTACAGGGATTACATTTCTGATAAGTCTGCGTGCTGGCTCTGATAACAATGCAAATAAGTTAAAGAGGCTGAGTTGGAAGCAGAGCTCATCAGAGGAGTCAGATGGAGGTAAATATGGTTCAGTCCACTGTAGCATGGACTCCTTGCTGCATGTAAAACACACCCCAAAAATGAGGTGTGTTTCCAGAAGGCGACTTCTGAAGGCAAGCTGTCTGTGTCCTGGTCCTGCAATGGCGCAGGGCGTTGGTGCTCCTGGGTGTGGTTTATTTTTGGGAGGAAAGCAGCCTGGTAGTGCTGCACTGACATCCAGCTGTGCCTGCAGGCAGGTGTGCTGCAGTCAGCTCTCTTGGCCTGCAGGAACCCCACTGTCTCGTGTGGAAGAGCTCAGGGTGACATTCTCAGGTCACCCCGACACCCGGAGCCCCAGAGCTGGCAGAAATCCTTGTAGATGGGTGGGAGAGGATGATCCCTCTGTGGTGGCTCAGGGTGGTCAGTATGGACCTGTCAGGCCAGCCTTTGCCTCCTGAGATGCTGCATTTCCTTCCGAGGGAGGTGGGCTTGCATGGATCCAAGCTCCTTTGTCTTCTTAAGCCAGTGGCACCAGTGGTGAGTACTTGGGCGTGGGAGCCCCAGGGAGCGGCTGGTGTTTCACTTTCCTGGGGCCACTCTTGGGTGGGAGTGACACCAGCTGCTCCTGCTGGCAGGAGCCTTTTCTCCTCCTTTGGAAATGACCTAGATTTACAGAGAAATGGCAAACCATAGCGTGGAGAGTGTTGAGCTTTAGTGGGTAGCAGCAGGTCATCAGAAATACTGCCTGGAGCTCAGCCACGTTGCGTATTTTGGGAGCAGGACTTCTGCCCAGTCCCTCTTTACCTCAGGATCTTAATTATTGGTTATAAATTCATCTGATGAAAAGATGGCTTTAATTGCCCTAATATGTGCCCAATTTGGAGTTCATTATAGCCCGGGATTGTTTTCCTTCCCTTGCTAATTGACACCAAATGGGATGCAGAGGAAGGCGGGCACTGGTGCTGTTCCACCTTCAGCGATTGCCTGGCTGCCTGTGTTTGTTTATTTGTGGAGGTGCTAAGTGCTGCTGGAGGTTTATAGGTACTCTATTCCTGAGGAGTCCTCAGCTGAACCTCCAGATTTCTTTGGGAGAGGGGTGTTTTCAAGCAGCTGCTGGATCTCCGTGATGTTTTGGGATGGCTGGAGGAGTCTGCTGGAGGATGGGATTAAATCCTGGGGTCCCCTTTGTGCCTTGGCCTGTTTCACTGCAAGGTGGGGTGGATTTTCTCCGTCCCCTGGTGTGCCTGTGGCTCAGAGTGCAGCTCTGGAGGCAGCCCTGGTTTCCAGGATTTGCTGCAGCGTGGCGCTGGGCAGGGACAGAGGCGTGGGTGAGGCACTGGAGGACTCTGCCGTGGGGCTGGAAGCTCCTGGCACCTGCTCCTCCCAGCAGAGCTCGGCGTGGAATGTTTCCCATCACTGCAGACTGTGGTGGTGGTTTTCCCTGGAAATGGCAGCGCGGGCCAGATGTTCACAGGGTAATTGAAAATTCCATTTTATCAGAAAGCGTTTGCTGTCAAAAAGTTTTATCTTTATTTCAACAAAGAGGCTGATTAGATCCCTCAGGACCTGAATTAGCATCTTTGAGGCTGGATACTCTGTTTTGTGATTCAGGTAGTTATTCCTGCCTTGGTTTTCCTCATACTGGTACTTTTTTCTTTAAATCCCCTTGCCCTCTTCCAATCATAGTATTTGTGCAGGTTTGGCTTGTTTTCTTTGTGTGGATGTGCACAAGCACCTAGATATGCTTAAATGTATTCTACTGCCTTTTTCACCTTGCCTTGAGCGAGAACCATTCTCGTGCTCTCCAAGTCATCATGGGAGCTCTTGCCAGCATAGAAATCAGAAAGGAGATATTTCCAATGTAAGTTTTTAATGTTAGAAGCAACAGATTTCACACTTACCTTAATTCCCAGTGCTGGCCAGTATTTAGCCATCAATTACAATAAGAAAAATCATTGGTCCAATGAAGCAGTGATTCACTGTTTAAGATAAAAATAGAAAATATGAAAATAATAAGTACATGCTAATCATAAAATGGCAGTGTTAGAAATAATCACCACAGCCATAAAAAGCTTTAAAATCAAAATGAGATGTTTTAAAGCAATGTCAGTAATGGATCTCTACAGAGAATTGCTTCTAAAAGCATCACTTCCACTTTTCTGGTGCCAGATCAGCAGTAAAGGTTCACGTGAAATGTCATCTGGAAAGACCTGATCCTGCATACATTTCCACATCTGTGTAACTTTGCTCACGGGGGGATTTAATTGTGTCTGAGTCTCATAAACTCCAGCAGGATGAAGGGTTCTTTGAATAGAAATGGGTTATATTTAAATAGTTATGTTAAGTCTTCTTTATACTATCACACAGTAGAGAAATAAGATTTGGATGTAAAGGAGAAGTGGGCCTGTGATAGTCACTGAAACTTTTCTTGCTGGTTGCATCCCAAATTATTCAGATGTATCATCATTTAGGGGATCAGGTTTTATCTGGAATATTCCAATTGGTTCTTATGCTCATCTCCATAGTATCTGGGTGTATTTCAGTTGTGAATTGAGAACATGACTAATGGTATTAACTGGAGGCAAACACAGGTATTAGAAACTGTTGATTTTTTGTAAGCTGATTTCCAGCAGTCGTTCTACCTACAGCCCCTTTCACTCTGCAGAAAAGTCTTTCTGAAGAGCTGCAAGTACATAAAGACCTAAGTGACATTCTAGGGATTTGGAGGGTGCACTTCTCTGGAAGTTTCTACAAATTAATAAAAGCACCTAATTTCTTATATTCACACATGCAGCACAAGACAAAGTATAGCATTCATAAGTGAGTGACAGCACATCCCTTAAGATGGATGAATGCTGTAAGCTTCCTTTACAGGGCAGTGTCAATTATTGCAGCTCCCCTGGTTTCTGTATTAGTGCACGGCTCTGGCAAAGCAGCCTCAGTGAGCTCCTGCAGTGGCCAGCCTGGAGGGAGCAATCAGCTTCTCACAGTCCTTGCAAAGCCCCGAGAAGGATTTTTCTGACCAGTGGGTGAGCTGGTCTTTGGGAAGAGGAGCTGATTGTCTTATGATTCCCACACTTTTAAATGACTGCGTGTTGAGCATCCAAGTCAGCTCCGTGTGGAGGTTACTGATGCTTTTGTCCACGCTCTCTCCATCCTCCCCAGGCTCCTGCTGACATTTCCTAGCCAGCATCGTGGAGGGGCATAGTATTTTTTGTTGGAGCATGGAAGGTAACTCAGCTCCTTCTTCAGAGGGCGATGTGGGCAGGCAGAGCTGGACAGAGGGACAGGCAGGCCCAGCCTCGAGCTCAGCAGGGCAGGGGTCACTTGAGGAGGTTTAATCCGTGCATGGATGTGCTGGTTGGCACACACAGGTCCCTTGTGCTGCTCTCACTGAGCACTGCTTGGAGAAGTCCTTGCTGGGAAGTGCTGGGGGCCAGGGGTGATGCTGAAGTCATCTCCGTAGCAGTAAGTGAAGCCAACCCCTCTTTGCAACAGCAG